CAAGAGTTTTTATATTAATATGATGATGATGATGAGTTATTATATAATTTATGAAAGGGAAAATAAATGGAAAACAATCTCTAAATTAAATGGAAAACATAAAATTAAAGGTAAAATAAATAATAAAACCAAAAACCCCAAATCTTTTAGTACCGGTTGGTGTTACCAACCGGTACTAAAGGACTCCCCGCCCCTGGCGCTGGCACGTGCCACGTGATGGCCCTTTAGCGGCGATTCATGTAGAACTGGTACTAAAAGGAGGGGAGGCTTTAGTCCCCACTCTTTAGTGCCGGTTACAGAACCGACACTAAAAGGCCTTACGAATCGGTGCTATAGCCCGGTTCTGCACTAGTGTTGGTATATGTTTATCGCTTCTACCACAAAATAGAAGGAGTGCCAAATAGTAGGGGCCGAGACACATGCACAAACATGGAGTTTAGTGGTCATTTTATTTTGAAATATTCAAGCAAAGCTAGAAAAAAATACGAAACTTGGTTGTCAAGATATGGCACCTAGTAGCTGTTGTAAAAATATGAGAATGTCTTGCAAAAGTTATCACATAGGCTTCTTAGAAATTGGACAATCTCCGAGGAAGAATCTAAGTTTTGAGAAGGAACGGATCAGGTTTGCACGTGAAGCTACAACTGCTTCATCCGTTGGAGTTGAACCTTCTTTGCACTCAACATACACCATTACATGTAACATGTCAAAATTTAGTATTTAACATATTGAAATAATCTATTTCACACATTTCAAAGTTGTTTCACATATTTCAAAAATCTATTTCGCGCATTAAACAAAATGTTTTTCACATATTTGAAAAATGATTTCACGCATTGAAACAGAATTTGTATCACATTTTCAAAAAATTGTTTCACACATGGAAATAAATCTATTTCACATTTTTCAAAAATTATTTCACAAACTGAAATAAAATCTATTGTGCATATTTCAAAAAACGGTTTCACACACTGAAACAAAAACTATTTTACATACTTAAAATATTTGTTTCACACATTTAAACAAATATCTCACATTCACATGTACTAAAATGGCAATTTCAACATGTGAAACTGATAATTTTGATATGTAAAATTGATATTTATTCAATATAGTAGCAAAAGGTAAATAAGTTTGAAATGTATCCAATTTTGGCATTGTTGTAAGGGTCGTGTCATCGGGAATTCAAATATGTAAAGCATTCATTGCGTTAAAAGTGATTCAAAAATAGTTATTCCAGATGTATCCAAGATCAGTCTTGTTTTAAAGTTCTTATCGCCAAGATTCCAAATATGTAAAAAAGTTGCAAATATAATTTCATTTTAAAAGTTAAGAACCATCTAAATTAGTCACAAAAAAAGAACCATCTAAATTTTCTTAAGGAGTTACAAGGAATCGATTTTGAGAAAGAGGACAACTCTAGAGAAATGCCTTTGGTTCTCGGGTGTATATATACCCTATATAAGATTTTAAAGGAAAAACTGCGTTGACTTTAGGGGCAAAACCCCCAAATTTATAGCTATATACGACCTACTATTCACATCTATTTGACCTTAATTTTTGTTTGTTACCCTGAAGTCAATTGGCGATTTTTTCCTTCGTGGAATTTTTTTACTAGTACAATAGAAGGTCAACTTTATTTCAAAAGCATTTTCATACTTTTCTTTTGAGGGATTATTGAAATTACTATTATTTATTGATATAGGATATATCTACACCCGGACACCAGACGTTCCGTCCAATAATGCTACACTGAGCGTGGGCGTTAGTTAGAGAAGAGATAGAAACGCCATACATGTGTCCTTTAATAATTGGCTCCTTCCGATCTATACTTCTCTTCATCTGCGGCGGTTGATGTTCTGGTGCGCTGGTTCTATTGGGCCTTAGCACGAGGAATTTCCGGCTGTCTACTACAACAAGGTTTGCCCGGCTTCGATGAGGGAGGGGCGATGACGGAGGCACGTCTTTGGCTCGCTCTAATGATTGTAGTCTTCAATAGGTGATCTACGGACCTAGATGTAATTTTTATTTGTGGTATTTTTTGTATTAACTTGATAGTTGATGAATAGATTGGAGATTTTTCTCGAAAAAATAACCTGACCGCACATGGTTTGACTTATACAAGAGGAGGACAACATTTCTCAAAAAATACAAAGAAGAGGTGGACAGGCACAATACACATTTTTTTTGGAAAAACTTCCAATCTAGTCATCTTCAACCATGTTAGTACAATGAACACTAGAAATAATAAAAATTACATCAATATCCGTAAACCATCTAGCGACGACTACAAGCACTGAAGCGAGCCGAAGGCATGCCGCTGACGTCGTCCTTCCCTTGCCGGAGTCGGGCAAACATTATTGTAGTAGACAGTCAGGAAGTCGTCGTGCTAAGGCCCCATATAACAAATGCACCAGAACATCAACCGCCGCAGATGAAGAGTATAGATCAAAAGGATCCGACCTAAAGACACACGAACAAAGACGAACGACGAACAGATCCAAGCAAATCAACCAAAGATATATCCGCCGGAGACACACCTTCACACGCCCACCGATGATGCTAGATGCATCACCGAAACGAGGCCTAGGCGGGGAGCCACTTATTCCATCTTCAAGAAGTCGTCGTCGTCTCGCCTTCCTAAACAGGACACAAACCCTAACAAAGCTCGAAAAAAATATCTAAAAACGGAGCTCACCCACCGGCAAAGGCCGAGATCCACTATGTCTCCATGACCCTAAAGCCATCGGAGGCGGGACGGACAGGCGCCGACGGTGGCGGGAGGCAGAAAACCATAGCTTTTTGGAGGCGACAGCTAGCTAGGAAGACCGTGGCAGGGTTCAGTGGCGGAGCTTAGTGGGGGCCAACCTGGGCCATGGCCCCCCCCAGCTCAAAGGAAAACAAGCTTATATCCCTTTGTATTAAGCATATTTTTCACTAAACATCAGTTGAA